TTCCTCTTCTTCTTCTTCTTCTTTTCTTCTTCTTCTTCTTCTTCTTCTCCTTCTCCTTCTCCTCCTCCCCCTCTTCTTCTTCTTCTTCTTCTTCTTCTTCTTCTTCTTCTTCTTCTTCTTCTTCTTCTTCTTCTTCCTCATCCTCCTCCTCTTCCTTCCCCTCCCCCTCCTCCTCCTGCTTCTTCTTCTTTGTACAGTACAAAAGGTTATTTTGAACTATTTGATGTTTTTCCTCCCTTGATGACCTAACCAAAGACTTTAGAGAGAAGAAAACATGGATCTTTTTTGTAGAGGTATCCCAGAAAGATCTGGTTATTCTGTATGTACAACCACACAGATATCCACTCCTTTTACCCAGACCATTATTTTGGAGGTTACCTTCAAGGACTCTTGTCTGAGAATTTTAGAAGGATAGCAGTCGCAGAACAATTTCTCCGGTCCCTGCCTAGCATTATATTTCTGATTAAAAATATTTATATCTCTCCCTCCCACTGTCTGCACTGCTCACAATGGGCAATAAACGTGAAGAACAGCGCACAAAGGCCAGAATACAAAATAAAACACAGTTCCTTGCAGATTAAGAAAGAGGCACCAGCGTGAAAATGAGATGGTTAACAATATTGAAATGGTAAGCCAGAGCTCTGTTGGAAAAAAAAAAAACCACAATAATGTTTGAATCAAATAATCCTATGTAGATCTTATGGATTAGACATCCCCCCCCCAAAAAAAATAGATGAGTGTAGACCATTTCCACTTGCTATCTTGGGTTGCAAGATGGAATAATGATTGATTAGGTGCAATCAAATTATTTTGGAGTACTAGTGACTACGTAACAGAATAACTGAGTTGGAAGGGATCTTGGAGGTCTTCTAGTCCAACCCCCTGCTCAGGCAGGAAACATTTCAGATAAATGGTTGTCCAGTCTCTTCTTGAAAACCTCCAGTGAGGGAGCACCCACAACTTCTTGAAGACAAGCTGTTAGAGAATTTTAATTTCTCTGTTGGTGAAAAAATAAATCAGAAGCTCTCACAGTTGACTGCATTTAGCTGATTCAAATAAATTTCTTTATATTCATATCAAAATATTTACAATACCATACATTCTTCTTTACAGCAACATAGCACAATGAAGACTTCTTACAGAGAGATACAGAGACAAACCTGAGACTGGAAATCCAGCTCCTAACTCTACCTTTTGCACAGACTCAGTAGCACTTTCTTCATATTGGCTGACTGAGTTATCACATGACTCTTCCTGCTCATGAATATTCCAACACTCCTCCCTTCAAGACAGGAAGAGACATCAGATCTATTGACTTTACACATTCTCCATAGTGAACACTACCCAATGGTTTAGTAATCATGTCTGCCAAATTATCCTCAGAAGAACAATGATGTAAACTAATCAATTTTCCTTTTACAGCTTCCCTGACATTACAATACTTAATGTCTACATGTTTATTTCTGTTCTTCACCCTGTCACCAGTTACCATTTTGATACAGGCAGCATTGTCTTCAAATACCTTTCCAGATTCTTTTACATTAATATTTAAATCTTGCAACAACTGTACGTACCATGTTACTTCAGAACACAATTCAGATAAAGCAATAAACTCTGCTTCTGCTGTTGAAATAGCAACAGTTGTTTGTTTTCTGGACTTCCATCCAATCAGAGTCCCTCCAAACAATATTATAATCCCAGAATTTGATTTCCTTGTGTTTATGTCATTTGCATAGTCACTATCAACATAACACTTTAATTTCAATCCCTCAGTAATCTGTATTTGAAGACCCAAATTTATAGTTCCCTTTAAATATCTGAGAACCCTTTTTACACCCATCCAATGTAACTTTGTAGGTGCAGCAGTAAAACGACTCAAAATGCTTACTGCGCAAGCTATGTCTGGCCTGGACCACTGTAATAGATATAACAAACTCCCTATTGCTGAGTGATATATCTCTTGATCACAGGTTTCACCTTTGTCTGCACTTAAACTATTATAAAAACCCATACTCATGGGTGTGGGAGCAGTATTGCTATCTTTCATATTATATTTTTCCAATAACTGCTCAATTTTTCTCCTTTGACTGAGAATATAACCACCTTTTTCATTTTTCTCTATCTCTACACCGAGATAATTTTTTATTTCTCCTAAATTCTTTAATTTGAATTTCTTTCCTAATTTATCAGCAAATTCCTTGACTTGTGATGCATCCCTTGCGATGAAGCAAAGATCATCCACAAATGATAACAGTAGACAATTCCCTCCTTGTAACTGTCCAGTATATATACAATTATCAGCTTTGCAACTCTTAAATCCAAGCAGTATCTAAACAGATATTCCAGTTTCTGGCTGACTGCTTCAGCCCATAAATAGCCTTGTTTAATTTATACACCATGTTAGGTTTTGCAATTTCATATCCTGGTGCTTGGATCATATAAATTTCTTCCTCTAACTCAGCATTGAGGAATGCAGTTGTGATATCAAAGTGCCAGATTTTATGCTTATATGCTGCTGCCAATGCCAGTGCTAATCTTATACTCTCACTTTTCACAGTTGACGCAAATACTTCATTGTAGTGCACATTCTTTAATTGTGAAAAACCTTGTGCCACTAACCTGACCTTATACTGTACATCATTATTTGGCAATACCTTTTTCTTATATACCCACTTACAACCCACAGCTTTGGTTCCCTGTGGCAAAGTCACTGATTTAAATACTTCATAGTCTCCCACGGGTTTCATCTCTTTATTCATGGCCTCCTTCCATCTTTCTTGTTCAGCTTTTGGTAATGCCAACACCTCTTTATAACTTCTTGGCTCATACCACACATTGCAAACCTTTATCTTGCTGGCACAATACCTGTCAGGCAGAATTCCTTTATTACATCACTCTGACCTACGTGGTATTAACTGCTCCTGTGTCTCAAGTCTATCTGGCTTCATGTCTTGTTCAGCCTCTCCTCCCTGAACATTGACATCTTCAGTAATCATTTTTCCATCATTAGATGAGTTATTGTCATTAAATAGATCACCGTCATTAAGTGAGACATACCCAGAATTTGCATTAATTCTGTCCCAATTTTGTTCTGCAAAATTAGCAGACCTTGAAATTACAATTCTTTTACTTCCATTGCTAAAGCGATATCCTTTTGACTCTGGCTCATAGCCCACAAATCTGAGCTTTCTTGCCTTTTGCTGTCCCTTTCTTCTGATTGCTTTCGGAATATATACCCATGCAGTACTTCCAAAAATTCTCAAATGTGCCAGTGATGGCTTTCTCCCATATAGAATGGCATATGGAGTATTATTAATGGAGGAACTCCACAGCCTGTTAACTATATAATTGGCAGTCAATATGGCTTCTTCCCAATATGACCTGCTCATACCAGAATCCTTTAATAATGAATCTTTCATTGTTTGCATTCCTTCTTTCAGCTACACAGTTCTCTGCTGTTGTGTAAGGATTTGTACGTCTGTGTCTTATCCCCAACTGCCTCAACCATTATTGGAATTTAGTTGACATAAATTCAATACCTCTGTCAGTTTGCAACTGGCACACCTGTTGTCTGTACCTTCTCTCTACAAAACTTACCCACTGTTTGAATTGTTGTAGCACCTCTGTCTTTTCTCTAAGCAAGTAGCAAAATGAATACCTGCTATAATCATCAACAATTACCAGTGCATATTTTGCTCCTCCCAAACTGGCTTGCATAGGTCCCACCAGATCTGCATGGACCAGCTCTAGAGCTCTTTTTGTTTGTCTTGTGCTATATTTACTAACTGGGAATGCCTTTGACTTTGATGCTTTGCATACTGCACAGTCCAAATATGTTTTGCATCCCTTCAAATTTAGCCCTTCTGCAAACTCTTGCATTTGCTGCAAAACTTTAAAGCTTGCATGGCCAAGTCTTCTATATAGAAGATGAACACATGAATCATGCTTTGCAACATTCTTAAATATATGGGAACATTGAACTTTTTGTCCCTGCAATACATATAGATTATCTTCCTTTATGCCTGCACAAATATTCCCATTCCTTTTGATGAGACACTTCCCATTTACAAAAATGACCTCAAAACCTTGTTTGTCTAAATTAGACACATTTAACAAATTATGTTCCATCTCAGGTACACAAAGCACATTGGTAAACTTTGATTCCAAATATGGAATTTTTACATCGCCTCTTCCAATGACTTTTGCTTTCTGGCCATTTGCCAAAGCCACAGCTTCTTGTGCTACTGGAACAAACCTGCAAATAATTCAGAGTCATTAACAATTGTTTGACTTGCCCCACTATCTATTAGCTACTTGTCTCTGTTGTTGCTATAGCAAACTTTTGCAACACCAAAATGTTCCTTTTGCAAATCAGTTTTTTTTGCTTGCACAAATGTCCTTCGCTGCAAATTGTTCCTCTGCAAACAGTTCCTTTTCAGATGTGTGTTTGCTCCACAAATGTAGCAATTCTTTTCTTGCTGAGCCCTCTGCTTGCAAAATCTCTCTTTTGATGCAACTTGATCCCATCTGCTTGTTTCTTCTCTGGAGACTTGCAGTCTGGACCCCCTCCTCAGGAATTTCACCTCCTTGTGGCTGTTCCTAAAATGTTGTTTTTCTTCTTCATTAAGCAAACATGCCTTTAAAGCCTCAAAATTTAATTCTTGCTCTTCTTTACACTCAAATATCGTAAACTGTGTCCCAGGTTTTATCTAAACTGTTCAACACCAATAAAACCTTCTGGGACTCAGGGAATTTAATCCCACGTTGTTCTAAGTCCCAAAATAAACTTTGCATTTTATTTAAATGCTGTTCCACAGATTCACCTGGTTGCAAACAGGCCCTGTAAAGTTTTCTTGACAATTGCACTATATTGCATGCAGAAACATTCATGTGGACAGCTTTCAACTTCAACCAAATCTCCTTTGCAGTCGTTAAATTTGCAACATTTAGAAATTGTTCATCATCTAAATTCAAGATGAGATAAGCCATTGCTCGATCAT